GAGCTTTAGACTCTAAGACGAGTACGACTACGAGTACGAGATTTTCTCAAAACTAAGTTGTGCGCGCGCGGGAACCAGCGTCAGTTTGGCGGGAAAACGTGATAGTCGTCGCCATTCTATTACGAGTTTTAGCTAGAATGTCGTGTTAGCGGACACAAGTTATAGGGTGTTACAGGTTTTACTATTTTGCGGCTGGGAGATAGCTTAACCTCCTTTAATAAAGATAACACTGCTAATTTTTATGGTGAAAAAGATGTACAACGAAGCTGTCCGGGGTGTCTATTATTTGAGAATACGCGAAAAAACTTTAAGTTAAATCTCGTACTTGTAGTCGTTCTCGTCCTAGAATCTAAAGGTCTCTAAATATATTCTTGGATTCTTTATAAGACATACACTTCTTGCTTAGTGGCGGTCCCTAACAGCGTCCACCGTCTGGAGTTTACTGTATACAGCTATTTCGAGAAAGGTTGTCAGAAAAATGTGCACGCGACAATCCCGAAAGCTAATATGGGATATGATCAATACGCTGTTCCTGACACTGCAGCTGTCGAATATTCTATTGCTGCTTTCCTTTAGCATTCGCAAACATTCGTCTATGGCCTCTCGTGCCATTCTTTCAAATTTATTTGAAGAACAGTGAACTCAAACCACCCACTATATTCAATACCTTTCGGGATTGTCGCGTGCACTTTCTCCGACAACCTTTCTCGAAATAGCTGTATGCATAAAAAAATTAGCTACCTCTAATTTTTTACGACAACAACGCGACAATCTGACTGACACTCTTTGATATTCCTGGCTTTCTAAAAACAAATTAGGTGACGTGGGATAAGTTGTCAAAAGATTCATTGTAACTGATTTGGTCGTAGGCAAGGGAAAGAGACGCCAGTGCATACGAAAAACGCATTGGAATGGAGATGTCAGAAAGCCTACGTAAGCTCATAGAACCTCATTTTTTGAGAAGAACTAAAGCTATGGTGTTGGAAAAGAAGAAAAAGGCTAGTGATGATGTTGATGGCTCTGAAGAAAAAGAGAATCGGCCAGAAGGCGGTGCTAGGTACATGAATTCTCGTTGTTTCTGTGTGTAGGTTGGTTCGGTCTGGTTTAAGAAAGGGCCCATCATTACGTTCACTCGACTATAACAATCGGTAAATTTGCTAATAATTGGCTTGGATATTATTTAGTGCATAGGTTGATCAAGTGGATTAACCTGTGAATAGATNATGAATTCTCGTTGTTTCTGTGTGTAGGTGGGTTCGGTCTGGTTTAAGAAAGGGCCCATCATTACGTTCACTCGACTATAACAATCGGTAAATTTGCTAATAATTGGCTTGGATATTATTTAGTGCATAGGTTGATCAAGTGGATTAACCTGTGAATAGATCCTGTCCACACTAATTCGTTCATTTATGGCCAGAAACGATATTTATCCGTTTATGAACTTGTTGACTCTTGGGGAAGTTTTTAAAATTTCTGATCACTACATCGTTCTCGAAGTGTGGACGTGACGGAAGCCGTCAACACATACGTTGGCCACAATTTTTCTTTGCTTTTACGAATACTCAATTCTGTTTCCTTTTCCTTTCAGAATACCACAATCGTTAACACGAAAGAACGACCTTATTATCTGGCTGCACATGTCTGATACGCAGCAGAAAATATACAAGGACTTTCTCGGACTTGAACGAGTGAAAGAGGTATGCTTTTAAACAATACCAGCACATTTCCTTTAAATATAACTGATATTCTTCAAGCGGGATTTGACACAGCAAGTCAGACTATATTTTCTTTCGAGTGAGCAATTTAACCCTTTTAAATTCCAAGTTGTTAGTCAATTCTAATGCCCGGATGTGCGTTTTTTTGCCGGTAAAACGCTCCAATCACATCAGTCTCTAACCCTTGACGATCACTCAAGGCTGGCTGTCACTAGCGACGGTCACTAGTGACAATCGGCCTTAAGTGACAGCCGACGGAGTCGTTAGAGCACTTATGACCTAATATTGCAAATCGAAAATCAAAGTTGTAAACGGAGCCGTACGATTGAATCGGAGTGGAAAGAATCAGAACGCTTCCATTTTCTTCCGACTGCGCTTATAACCCCTTTGATTACGATCTAGTGAGTCGGTACCCCGTGTACAGCTGTTCCCTCCCTTTGTTGTAGGGAAGGGGGCCTGTACACAGGTTAGGAGTTGGAAGGAGAAGGGGAAAGATAAGCCAATCACAATGCTCGTTCCCACGCTTTGTGATTGGTTTAGTTTTTCTGCTACTGCTGCGACTCCGATAAACTGCTTTTCACTACCCCACCCCCCGCCCCCCGAAAACAGGTGTTAGCAATGATTGTCGCGGTAGTGTGTGTGTGTGATGAGTCCCGTTTTACAGTTGAGATAGCCCCCTCACACTAATTCTTCCTCCGTTCTTTTTTCACTCCCTCAGTTGTTGATGAGCACCCGTTCACCATTAGCTGAATTGAATGTTTTAAAGAAGATTTGTGATCATCCACGCCTGCTCTCCACTCTTGCCTGTGAGCAGCTGGGATTGGATGAAGAGGACAGGTTTGTTACGGCATTTCAGCCCCTGAATCGAAATCCATTAATGAAAAAAGATCAAACTTGAATTTTTTTAACCTGTGAGAAACAAATACAGGAGCGTAGCTAGAACTACTCCAGACGTACGCAGTTTACCAAATCACCCATACACCGTCTCAAATGGTATTCACTCTGGTAAAATTGTTTTGAAAACATTATCTGAAAAAAGTTGTTAAAGCGGACTTACGCTGGCCACTGTATAAACGAGGAAACTAGGCCGAGTGAACTTTCACAAAGACTTCTGGGACCGTTACTTAGGACAGGAGAAAAATTGGCCAATAGCTGAGCGGCGTGTCCCAGTAACGATCCCAGAAACAATTGCGGGACGAGTTTCTGTTCCAGTTCCCCTCTCGTTTCTAAAGTGGCGAACGAATTGGCAGTTATAGTCAAGTCCCTTTACGGTTGACACTGTAGGGACCTCCAGTTAGTGTCCTCATTAGCGAGAGTCCGTAATTGCGGGAGTTTATTTCAGTCATAAACGTCTGTAGATGATTTTTGCAGGGGATATAGCTTCTGTCCGTATTATCGGGGTGTCCATTATAGCGAGAGTTGACAAAACACCGTTTTTCACCTTTTCCTTATTTACCGTTATGTTCCTTTGCCTGTACTTCGACATTTTGGGAGGTACGCACATGCCTACTTGTATACAGATAACCACTTCCCTTAAATAGCATCATTTAACAGTTCTACCATAGAGGTTTCGTTTGAATGGTACATTCAGAATGAAAAGTTAAAACATAACTTCGTAGTTGACTGTACGATTAAAGAGGTCAGAAGTCGCTAGCACCTAACTCCTATGAACCGTCTGAGGACCGTCCGAACAGATGTGTTTGCTATGTATAAGAGGGACAAGGGTCGGGGTGAGACCCGGAAATGAATTCGGGCTGCCACGCAAACTCTAGTCCTCAAGCCCTAGACGTGTGAAAATAAGCAAATGTCGTAATACCATTAAAGTTCACGTCAGTGCTCCAAACTCTGCCTGATCATTGCTCTTACACCTAAGAGAAAAGCATTCAGTTAATTTTTTTAATGTTAGTTGATTCACTGTACAACGAGAAACATAACTTAAAGAAGAAATCTTTGTTTCCTTCTGCTTTGCAAGTGTTTTTTGAGTATTTCCTTTTTTTTTCTTTTTTTTTTTATTTAGGCTCGTTGAGCTGGACTCAGCCGCTGACCAAGATGGACCATCATTTGCCACCCAGCCAAAAGGCTTAGGTCCTTCTGACAGGGTGCTCACACAGGAATCAGGGAAAATGGTCTTCCTGGTTTCTCTGTTGAATAATCTCAAGTCTGAAGGCCACAGGTGCCTGGTGTTCAGTCAGTCGCGAAAGATGTTGGACATTATTCAGCGAGTTATCACTCATGGGGTATGAACGTTATCCTTTTTGACACCACAGTATAATACTACTGCGTAAATTTTGTTTATGAATAGTCACTCTTCCACACTTCTTTGGCGCCTCTATAGACTGGGAAGTTTATTTAGAAGAATAACTTAGAACCACCATGGATGGCATAATGACCCTCCCAACGTAAAATGATAGTTGCTTTTTGGGATTTCCTGACAGAAATTAATGGTCAGCAGCCTCCATTTGCGCGTTGTAGGATTCCACATATCAGGAGCCACACACGGACTTCAAGCTGCGTACCAGGCGTTAGCGGCAGGGGAGGTTTGAGAGGGCGAAAACGCAAGAGGGAAAAAGGGACAGAAGCAGTACTTCGCGTTTTCCATCCTCTTCCGCTCTCCTTCTCGCTCTCCCTAATCCTAAGAGAGCGAGAAAAGCACAAAAACAAAAAAAGTCCTTTTTAGTTGCTTTTACTTGAAGTGAATGCTTAGGTGTTCACTCACAACCTCGAACCGTAGTACCATGAGAGACAGCAGCAAGTGACTAGCATCTCTTGCGTGAAGTTTTCGATAAATTTTCCTACTCACAAAGCTCTTATAAAACAGACTCCAATTTCCTGCCATTCTTCAGTTATTTCAAGCTAGCAAGCTCTCTGTCAGGCGGACACCCCCCTTCACCCTGAGGGGATGCTCAACAAAGTTTTATACTGGAAGACTCCGCCCCGAGGTCCAACCTCTTTCCCTTTCATATACCATGCATTTTTGACAGAAAAGGTACCCCGTTTCGTATACCTTCCATTGAAAGTCTGTACCTCTTTAACATACCTACTTATAATAATAAAAGTCCTTTTGTCATTTTCGTGTACCATTTTAATAAATTAAATTGTTATAGCTATTAGGCGCATCTGTTCTTAGCGTTTTAAATAAACGACCTTTTTAAATACTTTAATGATTGATTTTGCTACCCTTTCGTATACTTCAACATGTGAATTCCCTACCCTTTGATATATCTGAAGCCTGAAAAAGATACCCCTTTCGGTTAGAGCCTCCCCGTGTCAGCCGTTATTGGTGTACCCCCGGGCTCTACGCCCAGTTAGGTCCGGTCCTAATAGTGCCTGCCTTAGGGCTTGTTTACATGGAGGTGGAGGACCCCAGATAGGTGAGGTAACATGTGGCGTGTCACCCCACCTATCATAAGAGATTATATGGTTACCTCACCTACCTGGGGTCCCCTACCTCCATGTAAACATGCCCTTAGACTGAGTTGTCTGAAACAGTTAACAGGTGTCTTAGAACTACGAATTGTTTTTCTTGTTAGGGTCACAAAGTTCTTCGTATCGACGGGACAGTATCAAAGACTGCAGAGCGTCAGCATTTGATCAACACCTTTCAAACTGACCCATCTTACTCTTGTTTCCTTCTCACCACGCAGGTTTGTATCCCACACACAAGAAAGCAATATAAATTTATATTTTATCAATGCCACTGGGTTCACTGGTAGATTAGTTATAGCAGATGACAAAGCAAGGATAACGTAAGATAAAGAGGAGTAATTAAACAGTGCGAACGGCACGTATTTTGGTGGATACCAGAGTTTGTTTGTGTTGAACTATTTACGGTCAAAAAACATGCTAAAACAAGTAAAGTGTTGAAAGTTTTCGAAAATGACAGCTAAACTTAAGGTCATGGAAAACTAGAAAAGGTTATGTTGGGGACAAGGGAGCAGGAATAGGAACTAAGGAGAGAGGAAAAGTAAGGGCGTTTCTTCTCCGACCGTTTTGCCCAATTCGTTGACTGTAGATGCAACTTAGCTCTCGTCCTCGTTTCATTTTATTTCTGATTTTCCTTGTCCGTAAGTAATAACACCAAGAGTGTTGTTGACTACGAGGCAATTGTAAAACAGTAGCCAAAATAGAACCAGCAAATAGCGGATACAGGTAGACCATTACCTTAAATTCTCGAGTTTGTCTCTCCCGCACGCAAACCTCGGGTTATGGAGACCAGCTTATTTATTTATTTATTTATTTATTTATTTTTATTTTCAGGTGGGAGGTGTAGGCATTACACTGACGTCGGCTGATCGCGTGGTTATCTGTAAGTCCGTTTTTTCTGTATCATGATCAACATTGCTTTCAGCCAATCGGTTTTCGGAGCAAGCGCAACAAAAATACAGCCTCAGCACGCCTAAGAACACGTGACGCTCACGTCAAAGTCGGGAAGTTGCGCGCACTACGGCATGTTACGTTTCCTTTCAGCTGCTTTGTTGATTGCAAAAATACAGCTTGTTGCTCAGGTTTCTAAGAGCTTAAGGAGCATGGGTTGGCAGTTTCATAGCTTGGACAGAAATACATGCGGTATGCCACTGTGATCGTTGCCGTGAAGCTTGAGGTTTTTTTCTCTGTTCGCTTAAGAAATTCACCCTACCGCCCGCAGTTGGTCATTGTTCGTAACGCTTTTAAACGAAAAGTTCAACACTGAGTGTTGTTTTTGGCTCGGTGATGAAAAATCCTTATTTCTTTACGCAGTTGATCCCAGCTGGAATCCGGCTACAGACGCACAAGCGGTGGATAGGTGAGATTCTAGGAAGTAGGGTAGATAAAGGTGGATTTCCACTGTCGCGTAATTTTTACGTGCGTACCCGCGTAAATTAAATAGAGGCAATGAATGGAAGGTGGCGCGTAAACGTAACAGTTGGACCTCGCTCAACTTTTAACATAACGCGCGACCTTTCTTATTTCGCCTCTACTTTATTGACGCACGTAAATCTCACACGCGCACGCGACAGTGGAAATCCACCGTAAGTCGCGTTCACACCACAGTGTGACAGTGACCAACGCGAAAGCTTCGGCTTCTTTAGTCACTGTGCACATATCAACAAACATTTATATTATATTTACTTTTGATCATTTGTTAACCCACTGATTCTGTAAGCCATCTTATACTGTACCATCGTGAATAGTGCGAAATAAACTTGAACTTGAACTTGAACTTAAGCAATCAGGTCTGGACGTGCTGTAAGTGGTACAAACCGTGTAAAACGCTGCATACCACTTTTTCAAACGATATATCTGGATCAGTTCGCGTTTTCACTGACAAAAAAACCCCGAAGCCTTTAGTATTAAAGGGTATATTTCGTCATTTCCCATCATAAATTTATGACCATTTGCCAATGAAACACCCCTATATAAAGGAGGATAGACGTGTCAACTTCCAAGGCTATCGCAATGGGTAAACACTTCCTCAACCCCAGCAACAGTAGTGAGCCCGTAGTAATGAACTGTAACATGCGATGCTTGTCATGTGAACCCTTTAAGCCCCAATGGTGACCACATCCAGTTTCTCTCAATATTAACACTGCCTGATCAAACAGACAGGTCATGAGAATTAATGAAATGATCACCAAAGATGAAATGTTTTGATGTTAGAACAAATTCTCTCAAGCAGTACCATAGGGAATGTATGGAGAACAGTGTGGAGAAGATGCATGTTGATGTTGGGGCTTAAAGGGTTAAAACACTCTCTACTTCGTCCAGCAATTTCTGTCATAGCTAACCACTCGAGCTGGTTTTTTAAACAGAGTATACCGCATCGGACAAAAAAAGACTGTGGTGATTTACCGGCTCATTACATGCGGCACTTTGGAGGAGAAGATCTACAGAAAGCAGATTTTTAAAGACGCGCTCATGAAGCAGACCACCGGTGTTTCCAAGAATCCTTTCAGGTAAAGGTGATGTTACACAGGACGATTCGCAACGACGATTTTTAGCGCAACACAGCGTTGCAAGGTTGGAACAATGTTATAACTATTCGAAACAATGTTGCAACAATGTTGCAACGCTGTGTTGCGCTAAAAATCGTCGTTGCGAATCGTCTAATACTAATACTGGCTTGGTCCGCGAGCGCGCAAGATAAAGCAAATACTGCGTTCTCATTGGCCATCCCGACGAGCGAGCAAACCCGCTTTTTTTGCCACACATGAAATTATGTTTTAACCAATCTTGGGTGATCAAGATGGCAGATGGTTGCCTTCGTTGATTTTGCTACGAAGCCAATATTCCGCCATCTTGAACTCACTCACGAGTGTAGATTTAAACATAACACTTAACGATAAGTAATTTTTTTTGTAAAAAAAACGTCACTTAATAGTAAGAGTTGTATTGGCGTTTTAATAGGTTGTATACTGTGAAAGGTTTGAACTCAGGAGTCATTTCCTAAGTAGGTAGGGTATGATGGTCCTGGTGAATGTAGTCATGAATAGGACTGTTGTTGACAGTAAGTAACGTTTCGACAACCTGTGCGGTAGTCATCTTCAGAGTCAAAATGAGTTGTGTCACGGCAGGTGCTGGTAATAAACTCTTGCTATTGACCTGATTGGTCAATTAAGTCGCGGTGTGTTTCAATCCGTCTATTGACACAGTTTATACATGTATACTATATACTAAGGGTGTGTTCCTTTCGGCGAATCCAAAAACGGATTTTTGATCCTAGATTTGCCAGATTTCGCGGACGAAAGGAACGTGAAATCCGAAATTGGATTTGTAACCTTGGTAACCTTTCGCCAACGCGTGCAATATGCACGACACCCTCTCAAAAAATGACGTGTTTTCTACTCTTTGACAAATTATGCGATTATACCGTGCAGAATTTAGTGGTCGGCAGTTCGAATAGCGACGATGGAACATATAAAACAGACAAAGAAAGACGCGCATTAAAATTGAAAATTATCAAAAAAATGTCGGCCAGTTTGATCCAGTTCCATAGCTCGGATTTTTTTATCTAACACGATCGAGTGCCTGTCGCGTCTACAAGCGAGTTTGTAGTTAGATAGCAGTCCATTTGTTACTTTTACTTATTTCTTATTTCAAGCAATCTTTAGAGACAAATGGTCAGTATATGGATATTTTAATGTACCAGGAACAATCTTCTAGTGTTTTCAGATGTTTTGTGGCAAATGACAGGAACGAGGAAACTCTACGGCCTCTATGGGAATACTTCAACTAGAAATACCGCTGGATCATCTGACTAATTTCGGATCCACTGTGAATGGAACAGCGTGGATCACTAATCCGTTAATCTGGATTTGGATTCTTCGGATTTCAAATCCAGTGAATCCTTTTTCAAAAAGGATTCACCAGATCAAAAATCCGGATTTGGATTTGCCGAAAGGAACGCGAAATCCGTTTTTAGATCTAAAATCTGTTTTTGGATTCACCGAAAGGAACACACCCTTAAAAGCAAACTAGAGTGATCTTACACGATGCACTCGAAAACCCCAATAACGGCTTTAATAATTTCGGTACTTATGAAAGTTTTATTTATACAAAGATAGTTTCGAATTACAAACCTCGAATAAGCAAATTTTGAAACAACGCGTGTTTCGAATTACAATCTCTATTTTATGGTAATTTGTCTAGCCGATATTTCTTATTGTTGCGTCCGACTGGTATACAACAGCAAAACGGTGATATCCTTAGTTTAAATTTTACTTTCTTTTATTTATGGGTATGGTAATGTATGATAATGAATATGAGTGAACCGTAACATATACAACAGGAGAATATTGCTTCTGTTGGTCCCTACTAGCTGGCTAAAGATTGTAAAAACACTACCTCGTTTTTTCCCTTCACTCTTTCTCTTACTTTCATACACTTCCTACCGGTTTTTCCTCGTTTTTGTGAGTTACTTCTCTGTTTTGAATGTTTATTATTGTTTTTGCTTTCAAAGGTCGTTCAAGGACCAAGCAAGATGCCAACGAAAAAAGCATCAGTGCTGACGAAGAAGTGCTCAAGAGTCTATGACTTGAGGATCGTGCTTGAGGTGGAGTCGTTATATATACAGTCTTACTAACTCCTGAAGGTCTTTTTGACTAAGTTTTGAATACTTTTGTGCATTTCGTGAGGACAGAGATTCCAGTTTACGAAACCATTATACCCTTTCGTGTGGTAATGATAGTAATAGCGATAATGATGATAGTTTTTTAGTAACGATAATTATGATTTTATGAACGAAATCATGTGTTTAATAGGCCTGTATCCCAGCGTTTACAAGTTAAATAATTTGTTTCGTACCAGTTTTAATGATTATCCATAGCTGAAAACGCATTTGATACAAGCTCCAAATACCTAAAACAAGCAACAAAAATTTACGCTGAATGATAAACTAAACGAACTCGAAATGAGATGCACCAAAGCGAAAATCTA